TCGTGGCAGAGGTGTTCCAGAGCCGAGGTCAGAGGCAGACAAGAAGAAACAGAGATGTAGGTGGAGAAAAGAGTGTAGATCTTACTCGCCACGTGTGACTGCGAAGGCGCCTGGTAGAGTTTGGGGGGCAGAGGGGGCGCCCTGGGTGGGATAGGAGGATAGAGGTTTGGATAGTAGAGGGGAGCAGCCAGGGCAGGCAGGGTGTGTGAGCGGGGGAAGAACGGGGAGCTGAGGCCCGAGGAGCCCGCAGCAGCCAGAGGTGGCGCTCCCGGGCGCCGGGGAGGGGACAGGGCTCCGATAGGGGAGAGACGGGGAGGAGCGCCCCTGTGCAGGGGGCAGTTCTTGGGGTGGTACAGGTACAAGCTGGGCAGAGGGGGGAGTTCTTTCAACGTCCTGGCCTCACTGCCGCCTCCGCCGCCGGTGTGTGTGCGCGCACGCTTTTGTGAACGCCACGGCGCCATGACACCGGCGGCGCTCGAGTGCGTCATCATGACGTCAATGTTCTTGTACGGAGTGGAGCACCCCGGTGGCTCAGAGGTGCCACTACCTGCCGGTTCTGACCCGGTGTGTGTGTCACTCTTTGACTCTGAGTCACTGCAGTAAAGTGAGTCAGAGATAAACTCCCTGTCATTGGTTGGGGTGGAACTGATGGGCCTGAGTGGGAAATGTCTGCTTTTCTTGAAGACATTCTCATCATCAGGTGAGCCTACAGTGACATCAGCCAAGGGGGCGCTGTTACACCCACTCCTCTTTTGAGTGCTAGCGAAATCTGTGTGGACCGGAGCTGAGCTGTGTGTGTCTGCGGACTCTCTGCCTACGTGGCTGCTGGGCCTCGGGTCTGTAAAGGTCTTGGAGTTATCGTAACCTGGGCGGTAGGGAGGGAGAGCGGTGTGGAGGAAATAGGGTTGGGAGGAGCGAGCAAGGGAGAGTGGGGGTGAGGAGACTTCTTATGAGAAACAATTTAAAAATGAAAAATAAATAATAATAAAAAGAAGCCAGAAGCACAAGCACAAGGATTTTATAAAAGAAAAATAATAATAATAAAACAAAAAGAAGCCAGAAGCACAAGCACAAGCAGAGCCATACGAGGAAGCAGGCCGAGCCACGAACAGGTGGGAAAAATAAACAGGAAGTGAGGAAACAGAATGGACAGGAGTGGGAGAGAGAGAAAGAGAGAAAGAGAGAGAGAGATGGAGACAATGTTAGTGTCATTCCAGAGAACAGTGCACAAACATGAGCAGAAATTATCATCAGGTCACACTGGTAACACATTTCACTTCAGACGGTTTGAACACAACAGGAAATGACACGACTGTGAGTTTTCTGACGTTTAAAAAAAAAAAAATACACGACCGGAACTTCATTTAATCTGAACACCAGCACCCCCTACAGGGACTCAAGTTAAAAAGCGACAGAGTAACACTCCAGGTGAAGTATGGAACGCCCCCCCCCCCCCTCGTCAAACCACAGCTTTCCTAATTCGCTGGCCTGTATCTCTCCTCTCCTCCCCCTCTCCTCCCCTCCTCCTCCCCCCTCTTCTGTTCTCTGTCTTTGTAGCTCGTCTTTATCTCCTCTCCACATCCTTCCCTCTAATGTCTACCAATGCAGCAGCGGTACAAAGTAACGCTGAGTCAGTCATCAGATAACTGTTCCAGTTCAATCACCTTGGCTCTAGGTTCCTTTGGCAACAGTTCCAACTCCAGGCAGCGGTACTGTACCGGCTGAGAGCTACAGAAGAGTGCTAAAAAGGCAAACATACCTTGAGCTGACAGTGCAGTCCCTGGTCTGCAACCATTACGTGATACTTCCTATTTTTCCACACAGCCTCTCAGTGATTGGTCAATTTGCTTAGCTCCACCCCCTCCGCTCTTAAAGCTGTACAAACCTAATTGAACCACTGCATCTCTCAGCACTGATTTTGTTTTTTTTTTCTTTTTGGTAAAACTATCTATTGTTTAATAAATAATAATAAATTGGTAATTAAAATTGAAGTGTATTTAGTTGTTTAGTAAATATATTGGTAATTAAAATTGAAGTGTATTTGACAAAAAATATGGTTGAATGGGAATTTAAAAAAAGGAGAATATGAATGAAATGAAAATAGGAAAATAGCAGAAATTGTTGCAGGTTGTGATTGGGAAATTATGACAAAAATAAAAATTCAACCTTAAGTCCAGTGTATATGGACAAAAGTATTATACTGCTCAGTTGCTGTGCAGACTACTGCAGTACAATATGAGATGAGTAACCTGATCTGAGCTGTCTCTGCCACTCAGGCTGGTTTGGGCGGAGGTGAGGTGAGGGGGGGAGATAAACGGCAGGAGAAAAAAAAACAAAAAAAACATTAATGCCTCTCTCTGAAATGCCATGTAAAAGCGAAAAGACCGGAGGTTAAAATGCACAAAGAAAGATTATTTGAACAGAGATGTGGGCTGATGGAGGAAGGAGAAGAAGAAGAAGAAGAAAAAAGATGGCAAATCCTCCAAGGTCTAAAGAGAGTATGAATAATTGAATAAGGCCGCGGTGACATCACACTCAAATAAACAGTGCAGAAATTAGTGCTTGGAACTTTTCCAGCTTCCCCCTCATATTTCTCCCAGCCTGTCTCCTTCCCTCCCTCTCACCCATCTTTCATCTCCAGCTCCTACTGTCATGTCAGGCTCCTCCATCTGAAATCACCTGCTGTTTATTGCTCACCCTCATTTATTCGCTACATCACGTATCATCCTTTCCTGTGAGTCATGCTCGCCCTCCATCTCCTGCTCTCATTCTGTCTCCTGTGGTTTTATTTTCTGCTCCTGAGGATCATTTTCGTGCACTGACAAGTGGAGTGGTTCTCTGTCTCTGTCCATATCTGTTTCTCTCCCTCATCTGTCCAGCTCCGCTCCACACGGCCTGATCTACACTGATGAAAACTTCCAAGTGTTCATTCCCCGACATAAAACACACATCTGCTGTTCTCCGAGGCCACATTCCCTTTCCTTTTTTATTATTGTCACAGTTCATACTCACCTGAGGTTCTGGACTGGATGCTTCTTCCACCATCTGCCCGTCCTCTCTCCATCACCTCTACTTTTTCTTCCTCCTTTCCTTCATTTTCCTTCCTCTCACCTTCCTCGACCTCCGTCTCTCTGCTGACGGACCACAGACTGGTGTGACTCACCGAGCCGTCCGTCTTCTGTGATGGACACAGCTCGGGTCGTCCGGCCTTTTCGTCAGCTCTCTTAAGCATCTCCTTCAGAGCGGCCATTGAGGTGAGAGCTGGCGGCGGCTGCATGAAGAAGGCCTGAGCCTGAGAGGTGTACTCCCACTGATTGCCATCGCTCCCTGCCTTCTCCCTTCTCCATTTCAGGTTGTACAGTATATCAGGATCTGGCGTGATGACCGTAGGGTCAGGCACTGGTTCAGTGATCACCTTGGTCGGAGGGGAGGCACTCTTGTTGCGGAAGCGCAGCTCTTTGAAGGTCGTGGTGTTCGGAGCTGCTCCAGACGACCCCTTCTTTTCAGGTTCCGTGTGAGGTTTTCCCATTTGAGGAGAAGGAGGCTGTGGCGGGGCGTCACTGTCAGGTGTGAATGCTATGAGCCAATCAAACCGCTCAGGTTGTGCCGAGTTGGCAGGGAGGGTGCTGAATTTCCGGTGTGGTACAGATGGAGGGATTGGCGGTAAGGGGCGGGGAGGAGGTGGTGGGGGTGAGTCGGTCATCGTGGAGGGGTAGTTGAAGGTCTCGAAGGACTGGTCGGAGGTCACGATGCTGTTTTTCTTCCTCCTCCGTGCCATCTCTGTGAAGGAGGTGGTTCTCTGTGTGTCTTTGAGGTCCTCTTTCTTCTTATCGTCTTCAGTTAAATCCACTCCTTCATCTATATCGTTGCTACATTTGTCTCTGTCCATGAATTCTGAATCACATCTTTTCTCTGTCTCCTCGTCTGTTTGTCTAAAATCCCGGGATCTCGGTGGAGCGTGGTTCCCTCCATCGTCCTCACTGTCCAGACCTCCAACACAGACACCAAGTTCTGGACTGAGTTTCAGGAGTTCCGCTTGGGTCAGGCCTGCTAGCATCAGTAGCTTTCGTATCTCTACATCTAGGGCATGGAAGGAGGGTGGAGGAGGCAGGGCAGGAGGGGGAGGAAGAGCAGGGGGGGCTGAGATGGACAGCACCGGCGGAGGGGGGAGTGGTGGTGGCCTGGTCGTAGGTGGTGGGAGAGACAGCGGGGTCTTTTCCTCGGCAGCTTTAAGAGCAGCCAGCCTCTGAGCTTCCTTCCTGGCAAGATGACGCTTCCGAGGGGGAGGAATTGGAGGAGTTGGGGTGGGGAGGGTTATAGGTGGAGAGGGAGTAGTGTAGAGGGTGAGATAAGGGACTGGTTTAGAGGCGGGAAGAGGGGGAACCGATGGTGGGGATGGGGGTAGAGATTTCTCACACCTGAAGGTGGTGAATGTTGGGGATGAAGAGTTTGGGGAGAATGTGGACAGTGTAGGAGAGGTGGAGACCGCCATGGACGTGGTCTCCCTACTGATATTGATGTAATCGTGGAGGTAAGAGCTCACACTGGCATGACGCGCAGGTGGTTTGGGAGGTCTAGGTGGCGGCTCCGCAGGAGAAGGGGTGAGGGAATCCGGAATGAGAGGGTCATCGCAGTCTGATGGAGCAGTGAGGTCGACCCCGGCGTCTGAAAACTCCTGTGAGCCTCCCAAGGATTCTTTAGGGCTTTTATACATTTTCCAAGAAACGTCGATATTTCCCATTTCATCCATAATGTCCGAGAGGTCGTGCTCTTCCAGATCTCCCATGTCAAGCCCCTTCTCATGGAGTCTGGTGATGTAGAACAGCTTCACCTCCCGGTTGACGTTCTCCAGGCGATCGAGATGATCTAACCGGTCTCTTAGGACATCCCAATGCTGTTCGCCCTCCAGATCCCAACGCGCCACTTGAATCACCTGACTGAAGCGCTCCATTTTCCCAAATTCTCCCACTGACTCCAGAAAGTCAAGCAGACCTAGTTTGGTAACCTCAGAATCTTCTTTGACCCCCAAGTAGTCAGGAGATGGGGAGTCTAAGGCCGAGGGATAGCCTTCATCTGGGGAGCACGGAGACGACAGGTAGAAGGGGTTGTTGCTGTGAGGGAGCGATGGAGGAGAACGTGTGGGGGGTTGGCTTTCACGAGGTGGTGGTGGGGGATCTTCTCTGGGAGACAGAGCAACGTAAAGTTCATCATGCTCATGTGAAGAGAAGAGGGAGGTAGATTGATCTCCAGAGTCAGAGTCCAGATCTGAGCAGGAGCTGATGGAAGTGGAAGATGAGGAGGTAGAGGAAGTGAGGGAGAACTCCAGGAGGGAGGGGGGGCCATCGCAGCATGAAGGGACAAGCGTATCATCATCCTCGTCATCGTCATCAGTATCGAGTTCCCCGCTGCTCTCATCATCGTCATCTTCTTCCTCTGCTTTAACTACCTTCCTGCTGTCAACGTCCGAGTTTTCATCTCCGCTCATGTCCTCCTTCTCCAGACCAGCAGCAGCGTTGACTGTTGACTCCACCTGGGCCTGCGCTACTGACGGAGGCTGAACCTGCTCTTTCTTCTCCGTCCCATTCCTCTTCTGTGGCGACGGGACCGATGGAGGAGGTGGGGGCAGCTGGAGTTGCTGTCTGATTGAGACGGTGTTGTTGTTGTTGTGGTTGTGATTGAACATGCTGTTGTTGTCCTGCGGTGAGCGGCCGTCACAGCACAGGCATGGGAGACTCGGTTCGTTGCAATTTGGGTCAAGAGGGAGGACAGACGGTGGCGGAGGAACAGCGGCTGCAGGTGCATTCTGGGCAGCTGCCGTGACACGAGTATTCCTGGGTTTGGGTTTGACTAATTTGGAGGCTGTGAACACCTGTTTTTGGGAGTTAAGTCGAGACTGGTTGAGTGGTGGTCGTGGCTGCAGCCCCACCCTGGTCCTGGTGGGGGCAGCAGGAGCTTTAACGGGCCGGCGTGGTGATGCCATCTTGACTGTGCTCATGTTTTTTTCTTCCTTCTGGAAACCAGGACTACGGGACTTTGGTCCGGCTAATGTAGTGGTCCGTCTGGTGAGGTCAAAACGCCGTGACTTCGAAGGTAGGGTGGAGCAGTTAGAGGACTGCATTGTGGGATTTGGACTTCCAAAGAATACTCTAATATTTATTAGTACAGAGCGTGTGGTGGTGGTGTGTGTGTGATCCGAGCACTAATCCGATCCTCCTGGATGGTCACATTTTGGCTTCAAACCTGACCTGTAACACCAAACAACAACCATTAAAACAAAGTCTGATCAACGACAACAATCACAGGATCTTCGTAACACACAGTTACACACTTTCTGACTTCTTACACTTCATCGAGCAGTATCTGAATTTAAATACTAATAAAATAATATGATTTTTTTAAATCAAATTATAATGCTTCACTGAGTGCAGGAAGGACACAACTGAAATAAATTGAAAATGTATTTTTTCATTATATAATGGAAGGAAATTTCTATAATTCTTAATAATTAGGTAAATAAAAGAAACAACCAGGACGTGAACAAAACAAAAAAAAAATTAAACTTAAATTCTCAAATTCTTCAAAATGTCTTCTTTCTGTTTCTGAACAAGTGACGATAATGAAATATATTTTTATATATATTAAAAAAATCATTGTCAAAATGTAGTTGTATTTCTTATTGTTGGGTTTAACAATGCAGGCCGTGTAGATGAAAACTAAAGCAGCTCAATATAGTGATGTAAAACTGTTTACAGCATCATTCACCATTCATAAAAAAATGAAATAAGAGTCAAGAGGTTTTGGCTGTTAACACCTGAAACACACTTTCTCTTCTCAGTTGCAACATTTCTGGGCTGGTCGATTGCAGCACTGCAGCATTTTAACTTTATCATCTAATTGCAGTGCTGTTGAATTAGGATTGTTGCACTTTTTTCATGCCCTTGATTCCCCTGTGATTATTTGTACTATCATCTTTAAATACTGCATTTGTCACATTTGGATGTCTGACGTAAATGTTACATTTTCAACCTTTTTCAAGCTGCACACGTTAATCTTGTACAACGAGAGCCGTGGATGACAATACGAGGCAGACAATAACAGTCCATCTGAAGCCCAACTAGTCCCTTATTGTCAGTCAATTTTATCTGCTTCATTCAGCTCCACTGACGGTTGATATTCATGCTCTGAAAGCTGAGATGATTGCTCTCCATCCTGCTCAAGAAGACACAATGACTTTAAAAAAATAACCCCTCCAGAGGTAAATGCACATTTAACTGGAGCATGAAATCCGACAAAAACACAGCAGAACATCACAGAGTCCGGCGTTTACCTTCCCACTGATCCACTATACTGCTCACATATTCCTACACGGTGCCCTTCACATCACAGTGGAATAAAAGAATCATCCAAGTCCTGCCTCACACCGGAGATTTTAGTCAAAATGTCCCTTTAAAAACGACGGTAAAACAGAGCTGAGAAACAATATGATGTGTAATTTAACCTGGCCCCGAGTGCAGTATTATTTACCCCTGCATTTATTGATCACACTGAGATGATGGAGACAGGGAGGATGGAAGGGGGAAGGACGAGGGGTGGTGTTGGGGGGGGTCGTCTCCAACCGCATCGCTCTGATACACAGGCCCATCCACCCTTGTCCACAGCCTACTCTAATTCAATATCCAGCTCCACCAAACACGCACACAAAAAAAGCTCAATAACCGTAATATCCAAAAATTAAAGGAAAAAAAATAGACATTTAAAAAGAATCACTGCTAAAGACAGAAATAGTAGTCTCCGCACCGCCGCTGTCTCTTTGTAAAAAACACACGGGAAATTCCTGATTCACCCGACTAGTTTTACCGTGGATATTTATTTAAAAACATATTAAAAAATTACGAACAGACTCACGGTCAGGTTCAGGTTCATACAGAAGAAGAAGATCTCCATGACGTCCATCAGGCAGGCTCTCTGTGGCTCTCTCACATCACAGTCGGTGTAAAAGCACAGCACGGTCTCGTTTTCTCTGCTCAGCCTGCGTCCCACTTATCGCGAGAATTCAACAAACCACCACCCCATATCACCTCACATCCCGAGCAAACCACAACCGCCCTCGGCCTTATTAAAATGTTTTGAGTATTTCTAACGCCACCGTTTTTGTTTTTTTTTAAACAAATCGATATTATC